GATGTCGAGGATTGCGCAACAAAGGCAAATGAGACTCATAATCTGGGCGATGATGTACATGGACGGGATGCTTCGTGATAGCGTCGGGGCTGCTTGAATCAACTTTCTGAATGCTGTTGTTAGCTTAGCTCTCAGTCTGCACGCCGAGATGTCCCGTTTTGGCCGTCCCTCTTGAGCAACGTATCATGCTGAGACAGGTAGAGTGTTCCTGCCACAGTACCGCTAGTGTGTGATCAAAATGGAATAACACTATTAAGCCCCACGACCCTCTCCTGACTCTTGACTCATATGGGGATGACTGCGTTCTCTCCGGCAGGTTAGTAGAGCTAGGTGGCGACAAAAATGAGGACATGCAGTGCATGCGTACTTGCCATGCAAACGAGTAGTCTCACTCGGGAGTGAACTTCCTTCGAGCGAACAACCGACTGCAGCCTCCGCCATGTTTGCCTCATAGAGACGCTGAGGGTTGTGGATAGCATCCTCAATGTCGTACCTGTGGCAAGACTCTCGGGCCCTGATAACTACTAGCTCAGCTAATTCGTCGAACTGTGCTGTTACAGCTGCGGAAGCTAGTAACTGTCCCTGCCCTTGCCACTCAGTTACTCCAGGAACTATGTTCCTTGGATAGTCGACTTGTAAAACACCTAATGCATTTACTTCAGTATTCGTTCAGGAACCTAAGGTGGCTTAACTCCGCCTTAAGTCCGGCGAGGGATTGGGGACGAGCAGAGTGCGGCGAAGCTCGCCGGACGCTAGATCATAGCTCCATGACCTGGTCTACACCATTTCTAGACCTACTCAGTAAAACCCCAGCCCAAATTAGTAGAACTCCAGAGCAATATAATTAAGCCCAGACCAAATTAGTAAAACCCCAAAGCAATTTAGTCAGCACGCGAGTCTCGTGGCGAGACGCATTCTGACCGGCCCCCTTTCCGGTCTGGGGACTCCGGCCATGAGTGGCGGTAGCGGTGGTAGAACGAGGTCAGGGTACCACCTGCCGTATCGTGAGATGTGGGATATCGTGAGACTATGCGACTTTGTATAGGGTGTTTCAATCACGCCGAAACATTACACCCTCGTTGCTCAGCTATGGAAGGCATGCCAGTCCGAGGCTCAATCCAAATGTTCAACGGTTAAACTTCAACCTGTGATCAGTAGGATATCGAGGGTTTACTTCATGTAAATTGTGAGTTTCCCCATACTTGTTGGTGACTTTGTTGAGCTCTACTAAATTGGTCTTTCATGAAACTAAATTGCTCTGGGGTTTCACTAATTTGGTCTAAGGTTTTACCTAGGTAGGTCTGGAAATGGTGTAGTATCGCTTGAATACCTGCACTAGCTTCGTTTGTGCGGAAGATGCTCCAGTGGCTTATCACACAAAAACACGCCTTCTTCGTTGTGCGGGAGCGAAAAATTCCCCTACTCCCAGAATTTCATTCTAGCCGTTGTCGATCACTGCCAAGATCTTGCTTCCACGGCTACTTGGCCCTGCAGTTTCTGGACGTGCTATCGTGTAAGCCACTTTAGCTTAGTGGTAGAGCGTCTGCTTCGTAAGCAGAAGGTCGTCAGTTCAATCCTGGCAAGTGGCTGAAGAATTTGGTGATATCAAATTTATCCTCTGATGATTCTAGGGGGAAGATCTTGCGCCACGGCTAATTGGCCCGGCAGTTTCTGGACTTGTAATCTCGTGAGCCACTTTAGCTTAGTGGTAGAGCGTCTGCTTTGTAAGCAGAAGGTCGTCAGTTCAATCCTGGCAAGTGGCTGAAGAACTTGGTGATATCAAATTTATCCTCTGATGATTCTAGGGGGAAGATCTTGCGCCACGGCTACTTGGCCCTGCAGTTTCTGGACGTGCTATCGTGTAAGCCACTTTAGCTTAGTGGTAGAGCGTCTGCTTCGTAAGCAGAAGGTCGTCAGTTCAATCCTGGCAAGTGGCTGAAGAATTTGGTGATATCAAATTTATCCTCTAATGATTCTAGGGGGAAGATCTTGCGCCACGGCTAATTGGCCCGGCAGTTTCTGGACAAGTTATCGTGTAAGCCACTTTAGCTTAGTGGTAGAGCGTCTGCTTCGTAAGCAGAAGGTCGTCAGTTCAATCCTGGCAAGTGGCTGAAGAAATTGGTGATATCAAATTTATCCTCTGATGATTCTAGGGGGAAGATCTTGCGCCACGGCTACTTGGCCCGGCAGTTTCTGGACGTGCTATCGTGTAAGCCACTTTAGCTTAGTGGTAGAGCGTCTGCTTCGTAAGCAGAAGGTCGTCAGTTCAATCCTGGCAAGTGGCTGAAGAAATTGGTGATATCAAATTTATCCTCTGATGATTCTAGGGGGAAGATCTTGCGCCACAGCTATTTGGCCCCGCAGTTTCCGGACTTGTAATCGCGTGAGCCACTTTAGCTTAGTGGTAGAGCGTCTGCTTTGTAAGCAGAAGGTCGTCAGTTCAATCCTGGCAAGTGGCTGAAGAATTTGGTGATATCAAATTTATCCTCTGATGATTCTAGGGGGAAGATCTTGCGCCACGGCTACTTGGCCCCGCAGTTTCTGGACGTGCTATCGTGTAAGCCACTTTAGCTTAGTGGTAGAGCGTCTGCTTCGTAAGCAGAAGGTCGTCAGTTCAATCCTGGCAAGTGGCTGAAGAATTTGGTGATATCAAATTTATCCTCTCACGACTATAGGAGGAAGATCTTGCGCCACGGCTACTTGGCCCTGCAGTTTCTGGACGTGCTATCGTGTAAGCCACTTTAGCTTAGTGGTAGAGCGTCTGCTTCGTAAGCAGAAGGTCGTCAGTTCAATCCTGGCAAGTGGCTGAAGAAATTGGTGATATCAAATTTATCCTCTGATGATTCTAGGGGGAAGATCTTGCGCCACAGCTATTTGGCCTCGCAGTTTCCGGACTTGTAATCTCGTGAGCCACTTTAGCTTAGTGGTAGAGCGTCTGCTTTGTAAGCAGAAGGTCGTCAGTTCAATCCTGGCAAGTGGCTGAAGAACTTGGTGATATCAAATTTATCCTCTGATGATTCTAGGGGGAAGATCTTGCGCCACGGCTACTTGGCCCTGCAGTTTCTGGACGTGCTATCGTGTAAGCCACTTTAGCTTAGTGGTAGAGCGTCTGCTTCGTAAGCAGAAGGTCGTCAGTTCAATCCTGGCAAGTGGCTGAAGAAATTGGTGATATCAAATTTATCCTCTGATGATTCTAGGGGGAAGATCTTGCGCCACAGTTATTTGGCCCCGCAGTTTCCGGACTTGGAATCGCGTGAGCCACTTTAGCTTAGTGGTAGAGCGTCTGCTTTGTAAGCAGAAGGTCGTCAGTTCAATCCTGGCAAGTGGCTGAAGAATTTGGTGATATCAAATTTATCCTCTGATGATTCTAGGGGGAAGATCTTGCGCCACGGCTACTTGGCCCCGCAGTTTCTGGACGTGCTATCGTGTAAGCCACTTTAGCTTAGTGGTAGAGCGTCTGCTTCGTAAGCAGAAGGTCGTCAGTTCAATCCTGGCAAGTGGCTGAAGAAATTTGGTGATATCAAATTTATCCTCTGATGATTCTAGGGGAAGATCTTGCGCCACGGCTACTTTGGCCCCGCAGTTTCGGACTTGTTATCGTGTGAGCCACTTTTAGCTTAGTGGTAGAGCGTCTGCTTCGTAAGCAGAAGGTCGTCAGTTCAATCCTGGCAAGTGGCTGAAGAACGGTGATATCAAATTTATCCTCTGATGATTCTAGGGAAGATCTTGCGCCACGGCTATTTGGCCTTGCAGCTTCTGGACATGCTTTCGTGTAAGCCACTTTAGCTTAGTGGTAGACAGGGTTGTCCGGGCGGAAAGAAAAAATTTCTTTCTTGCGGAAATTTCCCGTATTTTCCGGGAATTTTGAACTTCAGGGAATTTCTCGAAAGTTCGAGGGAGGTAGGGGGTTCGATTCCCGGCGAAGACATTTTTTCTGTTGGCGACAAAGACAACCGAGATTCCAGGATATTGACAACCACACAGTCGACGCAACCCATATCAGCGTTGAAAATTTCATCGCTGTGAGCTGTCGAGCATAATACATTGATACATGAGATGCTTTCGTGCCCTATGACATTCTGACTGATAAGACTTTAACCGTAGGAGTGGTCAATGGGAGGCCTCATGTGATCATCAGTGTGAAATTTTGTCACAGAAGGATTTCTTTCCCATGAGCACACGGCTTCAGGACATAAATTCTAATTCACATTTCAGATACGATAGCACTTGGGCACAGCTCATCTGAGAAGGAACATATCATGTACCCAAAACTGCTCCCCGAGCAGGAAGTAACCACTTACTTCCAGAAAGTCTGCGAGTGATAACGTCAGTGAAAAGGAAATTATAGAGAACATCCGAGTTCTCCCGCTCCTCGTCTGACAGTTTTCTGACGTAGAGTGGGAAGCTTGTGAACTTGTCTCCATTACTGAATCCGATCATTACCGTCAAAATGCGATCGCGACTTCGGTGGATAACCCAAGTATCAATGAATAGAATTGTTGGGCTCCCATTTAGCCTCTGAGCCACTCCAGCCTCAGCCACCATGCGTCGAGAAATATCACCGAATGCAGCATTTTGGAGGCTTCGCAACTTTCGTCGACTGATTCCACTATAGTCAGGAATGATACTTCGAACTGCTCACTTCATAAAAACACTACATACACTGTTGTTGCTCATGCCAAGGTACAGCGAAGCTTCCGACAGCCGTCGGTGGAACTCCCGTAGACGGGATGGGTCAATGGCCATTGGTGATGCACTCAAATATCGAAATAACGACTGTTGTCTGAGCCGCACTCATATTACCGGCCCGGTAATACCGGGCATAGACAACTCAACTCAGCGATCGACAGAGGCGCATCAGTTATGTCAGCATCTTGCAACGCAGCCCTTTTTCCTCCGCGCGCGGCGCGGAGCGAAGCGATGCATATTACGCGAGATTGCAGGAAATTTTCCGAAATTTCCATGGAAATTTCAAGGAAAGAATTGGGCCCAATTCTTTCGCGTTTTGGACAACCCTGGTGGTAGAGCGTCTGCTTCGTAAGCAGAAGATCGTCAGTTCAATCCTGTCAAGTGGCTTAAGTATTTCGTGAGATCGCTTTATCCTCTTATGGCTGTAGCCTACAGCCTGTAGGAGGAAGATCTTGCGCCACGGCTATTTGGCCCTGCAGCTTCCGGACGTGTTATCGTGTCAACCACTTTAGCTTAGTGGTAGAGCGTCTGCTTCGTAAGCAGAAGGTCGTCAGTTCAATCCTGGCAAGTGTCTTGAGTATTTCGTGAGATCGCTTTATCCTCTTATGGCTGTAGGAGGAAGATGTTGCGCCTCGGCTATTCGGCCCGGCAGCTTCCGGGCATGTTATTGTGTAAGCCATTTTGGCTTAGTGGTAGAGCGTCTGTTTCGTAAGCAGAAGGTCGTCAGTTCAATCCTGGCAAGTGGCTGAAGTATTTCGTGAGATCGCTTTATCCTCTTATGGCTGTAGGAGGAAGATGTTGCGCCTCGGCTATTCGGCCTTGCAGCTTCCGGACATGTTATTGTGTAAGCCACTTTAGCTTAGTGGTAGAGCGTCTACTTCGTAAGCAGAAGGTCGTCAGTTCAATCCTGGCAAGTGGCTGAAGTATTTCGTGAGATCGCTTTATCCTGTTATGGCTGTAGCCTACAGCCTGTAGGAGGAAGATCTTGCGCCACGGCTATTTGGCCCTGCAGCTTCCGGACGTGTTATCGTGTAAGCCCTTTTGCTTAGTGGTAGAGCGTCTGCTTCGTGAGCAGAAGATCGTCAGCTCAATTATGGCAAGTGGCTATAGTGCTTGGCAATGCAGCATTGATCTCTGACTCTGAGTCACTGCTAGTCGGCCTCTCAGTTGCTGGGTAACATGTCTCCTAGGCCACATCAGTTTAGTGGTAGTCAACCACTGGTAGAGCGTGTGGCACACGCCGTGTGCTTCGTAAGCAGATAGCTGACCATCATAATCTTGCCATCGTGCAATGACTGAATCCCCAATGGCGTCTCTTCTTTCCCGTACGCGCCATCAATCATCTCCAGCGGATTGAAGGAGGGCAGAATGATTCTCTCTCAATTTTGCGTGTTCAACACAACAGCAGCGAAAACCGAGACTCTCGGTCCGAGAGGCAGAATCGTACTTGGGTTCACCGCAGCAGGGAACTAGACGAATCGGCAACCTATAGAGACATAGCTATACGGCGCTATGCTGTAAATCACTCAAAGCTGAGATACCACGCCAACGAAAGCGAAACCACCACAGCACAGCCGCTGTGGCACAGCGCACGTCACTTGTAGGAAGCCGAGGAAGAGTTGGAATAGACTCGATCAAATACCCCCACGAAGTGAATAAGTCCCAACAGTCAACATGAAGTTGCAGCTCTCCTCGATGTTCTATACCTCTCGTCACTGAGTGGAATGACAGTCATTCAATGACTAGAAACCGAAGCTAGGTGTGGAGAAGGGACATCGGTGAGAACCGGTCCACTGCTCCTTTTCTCTGCGTACAAATATCCGATAGATAAATTCGAAGGTCAATTGACCTCCTCGCCATTCTCTAGCAGCGACCGTGCTACTGCTTGTACATACAGGCATGCCCTATAACTCCATATTGTAGCAAATCTTGGCAGTACCCCGGCTGGGTCAGGAAACCTCGACAGTCCTGAGAACAAGAAGCGAATTTCTTCGTTGAGAGTCCTCGGCTGGTTCACTTGGTCATCAACACAGCCTATAGCACACGATCCGTCAACACATTTGATTGCCGGAGACCAAAAGGGAGGCAAGGGACACTGCTCCGCGGTGGTGCACTTCTCCGAGCAGACGGCTGAGGAGATGACTTCTTGTTTATTCTGAGAATCATCACCGAAAATTTCGAAATGTATCGGGAACGTTTCAGCGGTCGATGATGGTATACTCACGTGGATGCTGAAAACAACATCAGAGCCGCAATCACATCCTGCTGCGGCACCATTATAGACGTAGCATATCCCTGCCGGCTTTTCGTAGATATTCCTTGGTAAGTCCACAAAGCATGCGTGGAGCACGAAGCACAGAATATTGATAATGGTGAGCATGATGACGAGGTTTCTCATACCGTGATTGTTGGAAACTCCGACTCGGAATCGTTTGCTGCTCTCTAAGCTCAGCTCGCAGCTTGTCACCGTGACATGCAGGCTGCGATATGCAGCAGCAGGCCCCGTGCTGCACTGTAGCCCACGCTGTGAGTCTTAGAGCCTTGAGGCGTAGCCTTTGCTTTTAAGAAAGAGTCGAGCGCAAGGTGCGATTGCTCGCTCAAAGCTGAAGATTCGAGAGAGGCTCTGTTACAGAGCTCCCACACTGTCGCTGCTGTTTCGTGTGGATGCGTGCATAGCTATTCCCCTTCGAGGGGATAAGCTTAAAAGAAGCAGTGAGACTATACACTCCCGCCGTGCGTTGACTATGAACGACACTGGAGAAGAAACAAACACGACTCGTGGTTACTAACCACTGGTTAGGGTAACGATGACCCTTACCCGACCACATCTTCCCTCACTGAAGTCATTATTCGGTTGTCCTCTACAGGGATTTGAACTCCGAAATCGCGACAAGGGAGAGTGCCAGAGCATCAATGACTTGGTACTGTTGTCCAATGGACAATGTCCATTAGCCTCGGCAGTTTGCGGAAGGCTCTTCTTGAAGGCTCAGGCTACAACTTTGCAAACCCCGGACGTGAAGATATACAAAACTACTGCTCGTATGCCGGGGTTTCCACACTTCACTTCCTCTGAACTCGGTAGGGTGGGTAACGTACCACTACTAGTGTAGCTGTAACACTGTTACATAACATATAACTTCAAGTTTTACAATACCCACTGGACTAAGAGTGCTTGTCAGATGGACCCTGAAATATAGCTTGCGTACAGACTACTCTGCACGCACGAACAAGGGTGTAGAAACTGTCACAGGTTTGTTACCTAACCACTACTAGAGAAACGCAACGACAATCGAAGAGTAGCCTAGCAGGCAGAAGAGATCTACGAGAACGATGCGGTGACTGAGAACCAGTAGCAGAGGCAACAACTTCACACAATCTAAATGACTGTGCGTGGGAGAAAAACCGTTAAGTCCAACCCTGGACTTCCCCGAGGACCGACCTTCCATCATCGCAAGGTTGCCCTATGAGGGCCTAAAACCTCCAATTATCACAAAAGCCAGCCCCTCAAGCTGCACGCATGCACATAGCTTTGCAGCAATTTAGGCCAAGAGTGGGGCCGAGGTTCATGCAGGCGAAGCGAAGCCAGTTTCGCACATGAGGGTGCAACTTCCAGCCGTAACATGTTGTAACTCACAACATTTCGCTAAGCTGAAGACAGAAATTCAAATTCTGTCACAGAATCACAAACAGTCGCAGTTTCAACGGAACAACAGTCTACGAATCACGGCAGTAAGACTCGCTACTGTTGAGCGGCGACTGTTCAACAGTTCTGAATGAGGACCGCGCATTTGTTAGATGAATTTCATTTCCCTTGCCTTTCTTCTTCTCCATCAGAATAGCACCTTATCCTGGGCGGCCACACATTTCTAGGGTATCTTCCATCGTGAAGTGACTTCGCTTTGTTGTGTGGTCCGATGGGGCCGATGAACGCCTGCCGATCATCGCCAATCGACTATTGCACCGTCTAGGTATCAATATTGCTCCACACACGATTGCTCCAAGGTGTGTCATCGCTAGAGTAGAGCACACCCATCATTTCTTATCGTCATCTTTTTATCCTTTTTTCCCTCTCGTCCGTCCCTATACGGATCCTGTTTGGTTGTTATCGCACTATGCCAAGACTAACTGAGCCTCGCGACTCAGATACAGTCCAATGGCTGTCTATCGCCACTTCTGTGTACGTACATGCTTACGACATGTTATCGCCCATGGAGCTGGAGCTATCCGATCAAGCGAGTGGGAGGTTTGGCCGCCAAAGGCGAGCCAGGCTCGCCATCGTTGCAGTTAGTACGCACTTTGAGTGACAGGTCCGACAGTCAGACCTGAGTCAGAGCCTGACTCAGACTCTGACTCGGTATCGTCACGATTGTTTTGCCGAATTGGTATTGCCATTTCGACTAACAATAGTGTTATGATAACACTGAGCCACGATGTATAGAAAAGAAAGCAGCACCTTATGTTTGATAGCTGATAAAGAGTATGAGAGAATGGATCGATATGCTATACGCATATTACTTGTCATAAGGATGCTTTTCAATCAAGACGGAATGCTGTATCACAGCAGGGCTCCAACGATTGCCTCAACATTATTTAGATATTAATCATTAAGATGAGTATGACTCGGCCTGTAAACAAAATTCGGGAATGGCGACTCTCCACTGGAGAGCGAGTAGGGACTTCAAATCCTCCATGCAGCGACAACGCTAGTTCTTGTACATACAGGCATTTCCTCTAGGGTCTGGGAAAGCTACGCAGATTCCCGACTCCGGGCAGTCCTGAGAGTGCGAAGAAAAGGCTCAGGGGTTTTATTATCTACCGAAGAGCTGCAACCTGCTCACGTGATGTGACGCACAGTTGACGAAGCAACGATTGACGTAGCACTCTGGCGACCCTCCAGGAGGCTTGGGGCAGCTCTTAGTTGTGATGCAAGCGCTTATACAGACCGCCGCAAAGACGACATTATTCTCAACCGGAGAGTAGATACTAAGGAAAGGTGGGAGCAGCGGCTCCAGGGCTGCTGTGGGGTTCTTTGCAAAGCACAAGCAAACTGCTGGCTTGTGCTTTTAAAGAGCCGGTTGGCGGAGAAGACGAGGACTTCCTGCTCACCAACATGAACGGACCTTCCTTAGTGTTGCAGCGGCATCCGTCTACAACATTGTTTCCTGAGGTGTAGCATTTTCCCACCGGCTTCTCGTAGACGTTCCCGCCTGAGTCAGGAGTGTTGACCTCACAGGTTATATACGAATGTAAAGGACTCAACCCACCATAAATCGGGCGGTCAACGCTCCCGTTCCCAGGAGAGGAAATCGGTAGGGGGCTCACCCTCCTGAAGGGTGACACAGCGTGCCTCTATGGGATGTCCTCACTTACAAGTATCCTCTGAAGTC